ACCAAATTCTTAAACACAAACGGTCACTTTCTTTTAATCTTTATTACGTAAAAAGCAAACGAAAAGAGGATTTTGTATTTAATCAAACGTCAAACGTCTTTTTTTTTTTTAAACTTAAAGGGTGAAGAGGGGAAATCGACAATAATTAACACAAGGGTCTCACATCTCTCGTAGAATGTTCGGCTAGAGCGATCGCCACTCAACAACACCCGTGACATGTGTTTGAAGTCGGCAAGTAATATTCGACCAAGCTACTCGGGGATGGGATTGATTGTTAGCGGTTGGTCCTTGTCTTTCGTTAAGATATGTAAAATATAACAAAATAGGCGAAACCATAATTTAAAGAGTTTAGATGGTTTTCATTTAACTTCATGATATCTTATTTTATAAAATCATTTAATTATCTTTTCCAAACCATTTGAATGTTTAAAGCGTTTCTCTCTCTTTCTACAAACATTCGTATATTCTTTCTCCTCACGCATACGAGTGTGCTTTTGGCCTGTAGATTTTTCTTTGGCCAGGTGCTTTTTCGTTTGGTACGAAGGAATGATTTTGGAAATCAATTTTTGTATATCTTATACCAATAGCTTATAATAGTTGAAGTCGGGAAAATGACAACTCAGTGTCATGAGAATTTGAAGGCGCTTATTTTAGTGTCAAAACTTTTCAAATAATCATTTAAGTGCCACGACTTTTATAAAATGATTACTTAAATAACTTCGGTGACTTAATTTGTGAAAAATCTGACGTGGTTTGCCGGAGTCACTTAAACAGATAATTTTATAAATTTTTGCCACTAAATTGATCGTTCATAAAGCTTTGGTACTAAATTGATCATCTGTAAGTTTTGGCTCTAAAGTTTTTAAAATTAGGAATTTGACAAGCAAAAATCACCAAACAAATATTCTAGTTTCGCAATTATTTTTCTTGATTTTGTTAGACTCAAAAGCAAAATGACGGAGCAAACATTCTCTCTAAATAATTTTATTTAAAATCACAAAAATCTACTTGTTTTTCTCGAGAAAAAGAAGGTGGAAGTAAGCAAAATTTTCTTCATCTTTCGGAACTTTGCATTTGCTTCTTCTCTAACCTTGCTCTGTCTCGAGATGGCACAGAAGCGCTTGGAATCCTGTGGAAATAGACTACTTCACTTCAATTAAGTATGCGAATCAATCCTAGGATATGTTTGGAAACCGATTTGGCCCCCATTTCTCAATTTGCGAAGACTTGATGCATTTAATGATGTTGTTCGGTGCATAAATTTGCACCACACAATTTCAAAGGGAAAAGTGCCAAAAAAGTCCTAAACCTTTTGCATTAGTGTCAATTTAGTCCTAAACCTTTTTTTGGTGCCAATTCAGTCCTAAACCTTTTGCATTGGTGCCAATTTAGTCCTAAACCTTTTTTTGGTGCCAATTAAGTCCTAAACCTTTTAAATTGGTGCCAATTCAGTCCTAAACCTTTTGTTTTTGTGCCAATTTAGTCCTTCCGGTCAATTTTGACCGGAATTTGCCGACGTGGACGCCTGCCGGCCGGCGGCCGGTCACCGGCGCCGACGTGGCGCTGACGTGGACAACTTTAATAATATTTTAATATTTTTTTGAATTTTTATTTTTTTTTCCTTTTTTTTCTTTTTTTTTCCACTTTTTTTTTGGTCCCCCCTCCTTCCTCCGGCCGGTCGCCGGTCCGGCGACGCCAGGCTCGAGGCTTCGGCGAGCTCGACCTCGCGGCCACTGGCGAGGGCGGCGGCCTCGCCCGGCGAGGGCGAGCCTCGCCATGGTCGGGCGAGGCTTGAGCGCTCGCCGGAGGCTGCGGCGAGGGCGAGCCTCGCCATGGTCGCGAGGCTCGACCTCGCCGGATCTGGTGAGGTCGAGCCTCGCCCGACCATGGCGAGGCTCGCCTCGCCGGCGAGGCCGCCGCCCTCGCCGTGGCGGCGAGGTCCAGCTCGCGGCCTCACCGGTCGCCGGACTGCGACCAGGCCAGAGGAAGGAGGGGCAAAAAAAAAAGTGGAAAAAAAAAAAAAAAAAAGGAAAAAAATAAAAATTCAAAAAATATTAAAATATTATTAAAAGTTGTCCACGTCGGCCACGCCGGCGCGTGATCGGCGCACGGCCGGCAAAGGCCCACGTTGGCAAATTCCACAAAATTGACCGAAAGGACTAAATTGACACAAAAACAAAAGGTTTAGGACTGAATTGGCACCAATTTAAAAGGTTTAGGACTTAATTGGCACCAAAAAAAGGTTTAGGACTAAATTGGCACCAATGCAAAAGGTTTAGGACTGAATTGGCACCAAAAAAAGGTTTAGGACTAAATTGGCACTAATGCAAAAGGTTTAGGACTTTTTTGGCACTTTTCCCCAATTTCAAAATGCTTTGAACCAAAATTAAAGAACGATCTTTAGTGCTTAAACCTTATGAATGAAAATTTTAGTGCCAAATAGATATGGATGGAGAGCAAGCATGTTGGGGGGCCAAATATCGTCTGCTAATAGATAATACTTTTTTTTTGTGCAAATGTACCGTATAGAATGTTGTAAGAAAATTGAAGTTCCTTTTTCTCCATCAGTAAAATGTATCGTGCTAGAATTTTTTTTTCTTTTTTCTCATTTTAAAAGATGGAGTGTTTCTCAAAATAATAGAAACGGAAATTTGACTCGTTTGATAGATTTATGACTAACTTGTTAATCTTTTAAATAGAGCAATAGTTCTTGACTCTTTTCCTTTCATCACTAGTTCTTGACTTCTTAGGATTATTAACAAATTAGAATTCTTTTGTAAAAATCTCTCGTAAAATGTCAATAGCATGCGAGCTTTCAATGGATAGTCATTGTTACCAAAATAGAGATAGACCTAATAGAAAGTTCAATCTATGTCAAAGCATTGTTTCTCAAGTTAGGAAATAATTACTCATCATTCCTCGTATTTTACAATTGATTATTGTAAAATATAGCTCATAAATTTAGAAGTTTTTCTTGGTTAAAAATTCTAACAATACTTCCTTAGACTTTGGAATGTAAAGAAATTGGAAATTTTGGTGGGCCAAGATTTATTGATGAACATATAAACTTTCTAATTTTTTTTAAAACTTTGCTTAAGTGATTTCGATGAGTCACATAAGCTTTTCCATTATTAGAGTTACTTATCTAATCGCTTTTGACACTAAGGGTGCGTTTGGTTGGGGAAAAACTTTATGATAAAGGAAAATCTTTCCAAGAAATCATTTTCAGGAAAATGGATAATTTTCTTTTGTTTGGTGATATGTGACCGAAAACGTTTTCTAGTGTTTGGATCTTATTTGAAAAATGATTTCATTCTAATGACTTTATCTCAGGCAATTTTTTTTTTCGAATTTATGTATATTTTTTCTTTTCTTTCTTTTTTACTTTTGTTTTCTTTTTCCTTCTTCCTCCGCCGAACACCTCGCCAAGCCTCAACAACGGTCGGCGAGGCCACAAGCGAAGCTCAAGCTCGTTGGGATCTAGCAAGCTTGATGTTGTCGGTCCGGGCCTATGGTCAGTCATCGGCCATTGCTGAGGCTCGGAGACCGGCGGAGGGAGAAGGAAAATGAAAAAGAAAGAAAAGAAAAAAGAAAGAAAGAGAAAAAGAAAATAAAAAATATTAAAAAATTAAAGAAGAGTAATTCCAAAAAGTGTTTACAATTCTTTTGATTTAGAAGTTCATTTTCCTAATTTTATGCATTAATATTTTTGTTGATCGGAAAATACTTATTTTCGATTGACTAGTCATTTTCGACGAACCAAATGAGTGAAAATCCGAAAAACTAATTACTTTCACTCGATCGAACACTCCCTAAAGTGGATTGTGGTGTTCACCAACCACCCCCACCCCCACCCCCACCCCCGCACCCCCGTTTGCAAAGAGATTAATAAGTCAGGATGATATCAATGATGTGTAGTCTGCTGAGAGTGGAGATTGGGTATAGAGCTCTTGAAAAGATCAGAGCACCATTACCGAACAAATGCGAAAATCTAGGGTTCTTTCATCTTCCTTGAGATACCCCATAGCCCCCGTTTTTTGGACTCCATGTTGTCATTTTGGAGGAAATAAGTAGAATTCAGAATATTTCACAATTCACGTACAAAGATTGTCTTGAGATTTGAATGGTCACACGATGCATTGAATACATTTAGATGTTTTTTTTCCACAACTGTCCCATGGGGCTAATTTCACATTATAAAGATTAGATTTGGGACTCGAGTAAAAGTTAATGCTTTTTATTGAAACAAATTTAGGTTCGGATCAGAATTGTCACTCAAGGTAAGTTGGTGTTTTTTTTTTGAATCAGGCCTAACCCCATGCATTGATTAGTTCTTCAATAACAAAAAGGGACACGAGTGTCGAATATGGATCCAATATACATCCGACCGATTATCGATATATTCATTTCCAAACATATTTTTTCATATTGGAAACTAATTTTTTTTTTGGACTCACTCCTCTCTACTATGCACATGATGTGCGTCCTGTGATCACAAGGATCGAACCTCGGACCTTGTATTCTCCGGCCCCACCCCCAATCCCTTTATCAGTAGGGCCGCATTCTTGTCGGCGTAGCTAGGTTAATGAAAGCTTAAAACTAACTTAACTAAAGTATGAAATCATTAAAACAGTCAAATTGAGCAGTTATGAAGTCCCAAGAGCACACACAATACTCATGGAGGTTGAAAGCACTCGCCGCACGTCTTGTGTGAAGAGAAATGGGACTATTTTCGATACGGGAGTTACCCAATATTGCAAGTAACAATGTCGAGATAACCAAAGCTCAAGACACTCAAGATCGTGGAATCGGGCGTGCCGGGCTCTATAAGTTCTCTAACGACTCTCTTCTCTCTCCAAAAAAAGAAAAGAAAAAGGAAACTCTCCTCTAACCAATTGCAAAACAAAACAAAAGCTCAAAACTCATACGTTTCTTTCAATTATATGCTGGCCCATTTGGTGAGCCCAAACCAGCCATTTGATGAAATTCCTCTTCTGGGCCGACAGCATTGCCCGTGACAGAGTCTGCTGGCGGTGGGTCTCCTTTTCTGCCGCCTGATTTCTCTTCCCCGGTAATCGGCGTTGTTGACCGGAGAATCATCCGAAGGCAAGCTAAATTTTCTTTCTTGCAAAAATTATAGTGATGAATTCTTATTGTTTCGAATTTTCTTGGTAGCTGCTATGCTCTGTTTCTCTGTTTGTTCGTCGTCTTCTTCTTTCGTCTAATTTCTGCTTTTTTCTTTAGTTGCTGTATCCCTCAAGAAGCAACCGACCCGATGGAGTCCGTTTGAAGTATAGCCCATTTTCACCGTGGTCGCGTTTGAGCCAAGTGCGACGTGGTCGTTGCTAATGTTGATCGCCTGTGGTTGTGCAGAAGGTTGCATGTTGGCTTCTTCCTCGTCCGTCCTGCGAAGACAGCATTTCTTGGTGAGGTCACTGTGTCTGGGAGGTACCGGCAATCGCAGGAGGTCGCAGGGCATAAGGTCAATGGCTTTTGATGCTGAGGCTGAGAACATTCTGAGGGCAATTGCTCCACCGCTTGACCCAAGTAAATATAAAGGCCAGGCAGGTTCGTCTGTAGTTTTGGGACTGTGTAATTTTGTTCTCTACGATGATTCTTGATGTTTATATTTCTGTCTGTACAATGGGTTCTTTATGGCCTTGCTTAACCATGATTTAAGCTATGTTCTTGGTGGACAGATTTATAAAAGGAAAACAAATTCGTTCACTTGTTAAACTATTTTCATTCAATTGTATCTGATTTCTTCAATTGGCTGCTTTAGCTAAGAGCTTTTAGTCATGGCCATTTAGCTGAAGTGAGGAATTTGAGTAAACTAGTCCTATTATTCTCTTGTTACGTGTTTACCAGGAAAGGTAGCAATTATTGGTGGATGTCGTGAGTACACTGGCGCTCCATATTTTGCGGCTATTTCCGCCCTGAAAATTGTTAGTGCTCTTGACCAATTTGGTTTAACTTTATAAGTTGTTTAGTTCTGTTTTCATCAGTTATGATATCCCAACGAGTAATGTGCTAAAGAATACCAAATTTTGCTTCTTTCTTGGCTTATATTTGCTAGGGTGGTGTGACTTTCTTGATTTTGCAGGGTGCAGATTTATCACATATTTTCTGCACAAAAGATGCTGCCACGGTTATAAAAAGCTACAGCCCTGAATTGATTGTGCACCCTATTTTAGAAGAATCTTACAACATAAGGTGAAAAAATTGCTGACTTCTGTTTTTACGATCTAAATTCTATGTTTGCACAGATTTTTACCTGTTAAGGTATTCTTTCAGGGATGGGGAGAAAGAACAAATCTCGGGCAAGGTTCTTGCAGAGATTGATAAATGGCTGGAAAGGTTTGATTGTCTTGTAGTTGGTCCAGGTCTTGGGAGAGACCCATTCCTGCTGGTATGCTTCTTTGGCCCTATCAATCTCAGTTTGTTTACTTAATTAATCTGTATTAAGTTACCATGTCTATGTTTCTTTTTATTTGTAATAGCTTTTATTGTACCTCAGCAGCACATCTGGTTGGTCATTTGTTTCTCAAGAATTCATGAGAGTCTGATCTTTTCTCTTCTGTTTACTGAGATACTTAATTTGTCTTTCATTGTTTTATATCCTGTCACTCTTTGGTTACCCAACTTTCATTGAAAATTAAGAGAAACTGTGCATTATGCAGTTTTATAGTTTCCTATGAGAGCATTTTCTATATGTATATGCATTACCAAAGGGTAGCACTGAGACAACTGACATGTGTTTCTCAGTGACTGGAGTGAAAGCTACAGATAACTGCAGTACAGCCAGAGATCTTATCTAAGATCTTTTAGAACTGTTAGGCATCAACACAGTACAAATTAACTGTGCATAGATGATTACTCTTCAGTGAATTATGGCATTTAAAAGCGATATACTGGATTAAAATAACACACCTCGGAGAAAAATGTTGTTTTCACTGCTATGAGGAAGTTCAGCCAAATAGAGAAGTGATCTGTGAATTCTCTATGACAATGTCTATTAGGGCATAAAAGGATATATGCAACTGATGCCACACTTGTTGAGAGCACAGATGTCAATGCTGTTTCTGTTTTATTACGACTGGAGGTGGAAACACTGGAAGCAGACCTTCCTTTTTTCATCAGCGCTGTCCTTATTTTCTTGCTTAGACTGGACGTCCTGTTAAAGCTCTGCCTGAAGCATTCCATGTTTTTATGCATGTCCAGGGATGTGTGGGTCAGATCATGAGTCATGCAAGACAGCGCAATGTTCCGATTGTCGTAGATGGGGTAATGAGCTATTGCTATGTATCATCAACTTTTGGAATCGCTCTTCATGGATCTATTTCTGCTATCTAATTTCTTAAGATGGCCTTTGACCTTCTGAGCTGATTCTATGCTGTTATGACAGGATGGGCTCTTTCTTATTACAGACAACCCTGATCTTGTTATTGGTTACCACCTAGCTGTCTTAACTCCAAATATCAATGAATATAAGCGCCTGGTCAAAAAAGTACTCAATTGTGAAGTAAAGGATCAAGATGCTCATCAGGAATTGCAATTGCTTGCTAAACGGTAAGCTTATCTGCAGAGTTTGTCTGCTTTTATTGGAGGTTTCTGGGAGCTTAGCTAATGTCTTAGTATGTAATGTTCAGTATATTCCAATTTTGTGGTGTTACATGCTTAGACACATTCATATTCATTGTTTGTTGGCAATGCATTCACCTAAGTATCGGAGTGGCTAAAAAATTGATGTAGATATATATCTGTTGGTCTCGTCCAAAATTGCGTAAAATTCCCCTTACACAACAACCTTTGTTCATTCTACCCATTTCGACCTTTTCAAGGAAAGTCTTTTGAAATTTTGAAAACAAAATTTTATGTAGGCACATTTTAGTCGTGAGGAAATTAACTAATATATGTAGTAATCTCTTTATATATGACGCAGTGATACTGACATGTTGTGGTTGTTCTGCTGGGTTTGTGCCAATCACTGTAGATCGCGGAAATTTCAAATATTTTGATGATTGTATTTTAAAATTTTCTTATGTTCTGAAAAATGAACTAATGTTAGTGTTTATTCTTTCAGGATAGGCGGTGTTACTATCATGCGAAAGGGGAATTCTGATCTGATAAGTGATGGTGACATAGGTATAGGATGAACCATATGCCATAATCCTTCTTGGTGTAATATTTTGCAGTCTTTTGGATGCATTATATATCCTCCGTTAATAGTGCTTCAATGCAGTAAGAAATGCTACATTGTTTATTCATTGGGTATTCTCTCTCTGGACCCTGGGTGCAACATGGCTACACCTTGAATTGATCAAAGCCATCCAAAATTTCCGAATTTTTTTTGATATGATCTAGCCCTTTTCTGGAACTCAACAAATAAAGGGTGCTTTTGGTAGCCTGGTATCTAGAACTTGTTCATGCATTCCTGGAATAAAAAGGAATCCCGTTTTCTCACTTGAAATTGGGTATCTGTATCCCTCCCTTTCCTGCTAGGATTGGAAATCCTGTACTTTACATGCCATAAGTTCATAAGGACTGGTGTATCCTTGCTAATATGCTGCATATCGTGAAAGCAGATAAGCTAGCTACAAGTCGTACCTTTTTCTTCCCCTCTTTTTTGTAGGAAGTGCAAGTTATTGATGTGCTCGACTAAATAATTATATATGATTGTTTTAGAGGATTTAAAATGTGAACGTACCTTGCCTAGTTTGATCTGCCGTTACACCTGGAACCTTTAACTTAAAGAATTGAAAACATATCATTATTGTTGTGAAAGCTTCGAAATTGAGTGTGATCTTATCACCTAGAGCTTCTTATCACAATTACAAAATGAAGTGTACATCTCAAGTTATGGAAATTTTAAAATTCTAAGCGGTAAGCAGTAACTTTTGTTTCTTCTCTAGCATGTATTTTAATTTTATTTGGCCAAGGTTTATGATATCCCTTGTTGGTCTTTGCAGTTAAATCGGTGAGCCAGTATGGTTCACCTCGACGCTGTGGTGGCCAGGGTGATATACTCTCTGGGAGGTGCGCAATCTCTTTCACTTCAGTAACTTCTTATTTGAAGAATACACTGTGGTCCAAAGTTATTTCTGTTACCTCGTCCACATCATGTTCCCTTATCTATAGATACAATATCAACTATTCATTTGGATTCAAACTTTTTCCCCCAAAAGTGAGGAGTAAATACTTATTGTGGATCGATGATTTCCAAATACTTGTAATGTTGTCAGTGTTGCAGTATTCGTATCTTGGGCTCGTCAACATAGTTCAGCCACTGGAGTAGATTCAACCAGGTATTTAGCAGTCTTACTTGCAGATTTCATTTCCGATAATCGAAATCTCATTCTAAATATTCTCTTTGAATACTCGTCTCTTGTAGCCAAATGAATCCAACTGTGATGGGATGCATGGCGGGATCTGTTTTGTTGAGGAAGGCCGCATCACTCGCTTTCGCAAGCAAGAGAAGGTCCACTCTTACCAGCGATATCATTGAGCTATTGGGAAGAAGGTAGGGATTGACTCCTCGATTTGAGCTTTTAACTGCAGCAAAATAAACAGAGTTTTTAAACGGAAACTTCCATTCTCGCAGTTTGGAGGAAATTTCACCAGCATGTTGATTGCGACAATAACGGAGTTGCAGTGGTGATGGCCTTCTCAAATATGTGTCGCTGCGCCTCTTGGTGCGTCTGCTCTTACAAGTACAGTTTTTTGTGTGTGCCCTTTCTTTTCCTGTTCATTTTCCTAGAGTACTCCAATCTTCTTGCGGTGTATCTACATTTTCAAATGATCCCTTTTTGGGTAGAATAATGTCTATATGAGTTCCGTGTTTGTGCACTATTTGGCTGGAGAACCATCTTGCTTCTTAAAACCACTGAATGCCTCAGTTTAAGCGGATAATTTGATTGCCTTTCCACTGCTACTTGTTATTGTTGACACTAGTATTGCCTTTTATCGCGCGCGTTGGATAATCCTTCACTCCCATCATCCAAGGGTCACCATTTTGTTAACACATTTTTGTTTTTGGCTGTTTACAGTATTATTTTGCGAAAATGGCACAAATGGTCATTGAACTTCGTCCCAATGTGTAATGTGGTTCCTGAATTTTTAATTTGTTCAATGTGGTTCCAGAAGTTTAGCCCAATGTGCAATATAGTCCCTCAACTTTTAATTTGTTCAATATAGTCCTTGAACTTTTGGTATATGTTCAATTTAGTCCCTAGATTATATGAAAATGTTCAATATTGTCCAAAGAGTACATTGAACAAATTAAAAGTTTGGGAATCACATTGCATATCGGGCCAAAGTTCAAAGATCATTTGTGTCATCATCCCTATCATTTTTTATGTTCAGGTAAAAAATTATCTGATCCAAATTGATCCATTTAACCCGTTTTGACTCATTTCTATACAATACAAATTTAGCGATTCGTACCCGATCCGACTCGTGTTATTGATACAAATCAAATTTAGGAAAACTCATACACAAATTAAGGTGGGAGCATGAGATTGAGTGAGTTTAACACCCATATTATTTTGGACTTTACCATTCTAAACTTATTTATGATCTATTTACTGTATATAACTAACACATATAATAACTCAGCCTATCAAATATGGGTTAAGAAATGAGTTTATGATCAATTTTGACATTTCTATAGATCACCGAGCATAATACACTCCATACAAATTTAGCTTCACTCGTTAAATGGTTGAGAATCTTGAAATGTAGAAAAAGACATGCTGGGGAAACAAATGTAAATTCTTGTAATGTTGAGGATGTTAAGAAAAAGAAAAGGGACAGTAAGTTTGCATAATACACTCCATACAAATTTGACACCCACTTTGCCACTCAAGTGACAGTCAATTTTCGATCATTTGAGATCTATCGTTTCATTGCCATTGAAGACCTCGATTTCACCTCTGAATTCGTCACTATTTATCCTGCTCCCCCACGTAGACCTCGGCAACTACACTTAGTCTTAGAGTGCATTTGTTTCATGAAAAATTTAAGATTTGAAAAACATTTTCCAAAAAAATGATTGATTATATCGCTCACAAAAATGAATAAATAAAAATTAATTTTCATCATCCACGGAAATAGTTAGGTATAACTTGATGTTGATAATGAAAATGATTTCGATTCATTAATTTTTTTAAGCGATATAATTAATCATTTTTCAGAAAATATTTTCCAAATCTCGAGTATTCTGTGAAATAAAAGCATGCATCTTCTCGCATCCATCTTGATCTCATTGTGGTGGGACTATCATATTCTCTCTCTGTTTCTGGTTGGCAATGAGTACACTTACTAGGACAAGACGGGGAATGGATAAGATGGAACTAGGATTTCAATACCATTCAGAGAAGCTTATGAAAAGTGAATGCACCACGAGTTTGGTAGAGCAGAAGAAGCCTCTTATTGTTGCAGCAATCCATGCAGCACATAGTGAAGAAAAAGAGGGCATGGAGTCCCCAAAACATCAGCTATATTTTAGACATCTTTTGTAAACCTTTTCACTGAGCCTACTCTAATGCCGAAGAAGTAATGGCTGAGAAAGAACATGCTCGTACCCCCGAATTGTTATGGATAAGATAGTGAACCTGCAAAAGTGAAAAGTAGAAATAGAGGAACAAGCAAGCAATCAAGCAATACGGCAGACCAACCAGAAAACGACAGTAGAATCTCACTTCAATACAATACAGGTGAGAGAGGACCCGGGCATGGATCGACTGCAATTGAGCAAATTGTGCATCGAGCGAAGAGAGACAGGGACTGAGCTCAGCCTCGCTCGATCGAAGCAATCAAAGCATGAGCTAGAGAGAGATTGAAGGCGTGAATGAATTGAATCGTGCGATTGGCTTCAGTTGATGGAGGAAATAGGATAAACGGTCGGTACGAACCAAACAAAAGGTACAAAATCTCATCAACTTTGTCTACCCAAATGAAACATTGACATAAAATTCTTTGCTACATTGATTGACCACACAGTTTAAAAAATTGCATGACTCGTTCTTTGATCTCTCCATTGAATTGTCATATAGGAAAAACAAGTCTGTCCACGAAAATCCAATCAATTGCAAGTCTCGACTCTTCACCAAAAAACCAAAAACCAAGACATCCTTTTGTATCCCTCTGAGTAAAAGGACTACAGTAACACTAAAACACACTATTAGTGGCTCAGAGGCATTATCTGTAATCCTCGGGCAGGTGATATCCTGTCATGACTATCTTGTCTGCAAACATCTTGCCGGTCTTGGGCATGACATGCCAATGCAAAGTCAAGTTGAATTCTTTGCCCCGTAAATTGCTTCCCTGAAAGTGGAGGAAAGGAAACCATTATCACGGGGAAGACATTGCATGACTTAGAAATAAAAAATCTTTTCATTTCTTTCTTTTCATCCACAAACAAGCAAGCTCCTAAAACATTAAAATTTTTTCAATAATTAAGGTCTTAAAAGTATATAGATGATCAAGATGCAGATCAGTATCTTGCAGTTACTTCCTCCACACGTGTCTGCGACACATAATAATAAGAAGCTTCAAACATAAGTTTCAAATAGCACTCTTTAGGAAATTATGCGCAATGATGAGAACCCAGAAGCCCTATTTCTTTATTGGCCATGGCCATTAACAGGGAAGAAAAGGCAAAGCAGAGAAGAGTAACGATTCACCTGATCAGTAAGTCGGTACTTGTTGGTTGTGTGAATAGAGAACTTCGCATGTTCTTTAGATGGTATGATTGCGTCCCAAAGTGAGATCTGTTAAGCAGTAAAAGCAGCAACTTTTACTCTGATTTCTCAAAGCCGCAAGTTCAGTGAAGCCAAACGTCAATAAATCATCTAGATTACACAGTATTTTCAACCTAACAAGCATCATATGTGATGAAGATTATCTTTCTTAAGCTAGAAAAGTCTTGCATTGCAGGTTAAGATGAGTAATGGAGAGCGATCCATGGGAAAGTTGGATTTCTTGACAGAAAGAGGCATCATGATCTCCTAACATGTTTCAGTGCCAGATTGCAGAACCGTTGACGCTATGACACCCAAACAGCCGGTACACTCGGTTTATTTAATAGCTGTCGCAAGCACAAAACCACAAAAAAAAGCATCCATTTGATACAGACTGACAACAATTTCCTAAGATTTAACCCATCGAGTCCTGCAATCAAGATCGCTATCATGTTTGACTGTCGAAATAACTTCCTCTAGATCTCCTTTTCAAACTAGTTTAGAATGATGGACAACATATGAGGTCGGGAAGGAGACTGACGTAAGCATGACCAGTACTTCGAAATATCAAGACTAGTCTAGTCAAGCCGAACTTCAACTTTTAATATATTGTTTCATCCTACATCTGCAGAGTACCACCAAATTGCCCACAAAAATAAAAAAAACTCAAATTACAATACCCATTATGAAGTGGTAATGTACTCTATCTCCTATTGGCCACTATGATATCAGATGATGCAAAAGTCTATGACAACCAGTTGCCTTTAAGCGGATGAAAAGAGAACTGCAAAATCACCACCAGACACTGATAACGTGGCAGGAAAAACATGTCTAGTAGAAGCATTTTAAAATCCAAGTCTTGCGAATTCATCCCATGAAAGAGGCATGAGAGCCAAGATCCGTATTTTTCCACCATAAAGAATACAATGTGCAGTACGAGTGCCAACATAAAGAATACAACATGTGGACATCTAGAAAAAGACTGAACGTATAATATCACACCAACCTGATTTAGAGAATTTTGAGTTGTTTCATACTCAGCTGCTAGGAAGACAAATACCTGCAATTTTTTCCACGAACAATTTAAACAATAGTAAATAATGACTTAATGACCTAGAATAAGAGAGTCTCAGTTTTCCATTTCTTGGCCCAACTAGATGGAACGAGCAATCATCAAGTATCTAACTGACAAATAATTTGAGAACCAACAGAGCAAGGTTGTCAGGATTGGGATCCTAGGGAGGATCATTGGGAGGTCGTTAAGGATTGGATCGTAAATTCGGATCGAGGATTGTAACATCCCACATATTATCAAATTATTCCCTACATATTGAAATTTCAACTTTGATTTGCTCAAATATATGCATATTAACAATTTAGGAAGAGGTAAGAGACTATATACTTGCATTCCCAGTATTAAACTCCAACTCATTTTTCTCCTTGATAAGTAAAATGAAAATTTCCTTGATGTACCAAAGCAAATCAACCCATTTACAAAGTGAAGTTTATAGCACAAAAAGGAGCCAATTTCCAAAGAGGGGTGAACCCAACTCAGTAAGAAAGGATGACCCAAAAAAAAATACAAGATATTGAATTAGTCGAATTCCTAACCCATTCCATATAATGCTCCTCATATAAAGCATCAAAATGTAAAAGAAAGTACACGAGCAGTTTAATGTTGTAATGATGCCTATTCCACAGCAAAGACGTAACAACCAGAAGCTAACTCACACATTAACATTGTTGCAGCACAAAAAGATATAAATGAACACTCAACTGCATTGCAGTTTCAAAACACGAAAGGTCAAATCCTGAAAGTTGTCAAAGGATCCTGCAGTAGTCTACTCTAAAAGGAGGTCAAAATATTTCCTCCTTTCGCAAAAACACACTGTCATCTGCACAAACATAAAGCGAGTGAAGGCTTTAGCTGCTTAACCTGTTTTGTGTTCCACGTAAATGCCGACTGCAAGTCAGCCGAGATGTTCAATGTCAAGCTAACCTGCAGGATCCAAAAGAAAGGTACCCACTCAAAAAGAGAGATCTAAGAAAACTACAGACATAACAATTGAGCAGATTCAAACAAAACACGTTTTCTGATTGTGCATTATAAAAAACTGCATTGCATTATACAGGACGAAGTCAGGACCAACTATAGCTTTAAGAAGCAGAACATACACTCGCACGTCGAAAT